AGTCACGTGAAACAATTTGATTGGTTTCGATGAGATGTGCTTCAGAACGAAAATGTGTCTCCCCTTAAAATGTTTCCACAACATCAATTAGTTTTTGTTCATGTTGCAGTTAGCAGGAAAACAAATTTCTGATCCGGAGGTGGGCATTCCGTCAATATTGACGGAAGGGCCATCAGTCCGTCACCGACAGGCACCTTTTTTGCTGACAAATGATGGGGAAACTGAAAAAAATGACGGACTAAGCACTGACGAAAGTGATTTTTTTTTTTTTTGTCTCTCGGTCCTTCATTGATGGACGCCCATTTTGCTGACTACTGACAGAAACGTGTCGTGCCTGTCTCGGGTGTTTGTTTGCGAGGTTGAATACAAACAAATAGGGTTGCTTGCGTTGACAATATATGAAAACGCTTTGCGCTTCCTGTCCAGTAGGTGGCGGTAAGCACCAAAGAGCTGTAATCCACCAAAGAACAAAGAAGGAGGAGTTGGAGGAGGAGAAGAAAAAGGAAAAGAAGACAACAATGAGCATGTATAGACAGGAGTAAGAGTGCGAGCGACATGCCGCAGATTTTACCCTTGGCTAAAATGAGGAGCGGGATTGTGGGAATGGTATTTTTTTTTTTTTAATTTTGAATTATAACTTTGGGGTATTTTAGAAGTTACAACAGCAGCAGGCAGCCTGCTGACAATAAAAAGAGTGGTGGAGCTTAGCGCCAAGAAATTTTTGCAGGAAGTACCGCCTTCGGGCACACAGTGTTCTTGTGTTGTGGCAAAGATGGAAAAAAATGGTGAATTCTGCATTTCTGTCCCCCCCGTCTCAAATACCTGTGTGACATATGTGATTGTTTCTGGAGAAGAGGACTTTTCTGACAAAAAGCTGACAATGCCCTTCTGATGCATAATGTACGAGCAAATGGCCTTTGGAGAAGTTAAACTGCATGACGTGAATGCATGAATGCCCCGAGAAACAAGAGCGAGGCAAAAAGGCAGATGTTCCACCTCCACGGTCTCCAATGTTTTCCTTTGGGAGAAGTCGTGCTGCTGTGCATCATGCACATGGATGCGTATCCGGACGCTGAAGCCACACTAATTGACATTTGCGCATCGCTAATGAGCAAGTGGAAAGTGTTTTGCAGAATTCCGTGACACCTCCGAGTCTTACTATTTAGCATACAGAGGGCAAGACAAGATCGATTTCACATGCACTGTGCAATAGGGAGAGTGAAGGGCTTCACCGGTCAGCAAGTGAGGAGACTGTATTATGTAGGCCTACACTAAGCCCATCTAAATTTCAAGGGCAGTCATTGAATACATTGAAATCTTTGTCCAGTTGTGCATTAGTCAAGTCAAGTCCACTTTATTGTCAAATATGCTCTCTGTGCAACATCCAGCACAGATGAAATTTCTTTTCACTCAACCACAGGAGAGAGAGAGGAGCCGCTGCGGGTACCCACGCCCCCATCAACAGAACAGTTAATATAAAATAACAAAATAATACAACACATAAGACACAAACAGTCATGCAATCTTAGGAGACTTATTTGTATTTCCCCCAAATTTGTTCACGCTAATGTTGAATCTACAATGAATAATGGCATATTGGCGCAATATAAAATGGAATAGTTACCCAGAGTGGCTGAACAAAGTGCTACATTAAATATAGCAGAGTAACCAAATTGTTATCAGTCAAAAAAAAAAAAAAACTACAATAATTATATATATTTACAACATAATTGTGAAAGTAATACCTTCTAGACAATGGCAGCAGTCACAACTGAGCACGACTGTCGAAAGGGTAAATTTGATGCAGCCCTTGTCGTGGATTTTATCCAATGAGGTGAGGCGTATTTTGTGACTATAATGCAAAACATGACAAGTAGTCTGGAGTTTACAAAACCTTCGCTTTGAACTTGCATTAAAGCATATCAGACATTTCATGAATATTCAAGTCAGTGATTATGATGATGTTTCATCTGATTATGTTTTAATGCGGACAATGGTATCTTTTCGATTTACAGCATGAGTCAGAACTGTGAATGAACTTTTTACATTTTATTCCCATTTGTACATGGCCCAAACGTGTATACGTGGATTTCGTTTTTTTCCTCGATTTTGAATATAAAAAAAAAAAAAAAAAAAAAAGGTCAATAGAAAAGCCGACGCAGCATCTAGTTGTGGAAATTGTGGAATTCTGTTGTTCGGTTAACATAAATATTCCAGCAATTTATATACAATTGAACACAGGGGAGACAGACAATACCCTAAATGTGTCTAGAAAGAGTCCTGTATTATTCAGAATGGAAAAGTTCCAACAGCCCTCCGTGTGAAAGAGCTCTTTGCCTTGATGAGTCTTCGCGCTTGCACTTATGCATTTCTTTGAAAACAAAGCAGCCAGTTAAGAAATAGAATCCTTTTCTCTGTTAACCAGATGGCTGCACAGATGGTCGTCACAGCTTTGGATTAAAAGCTTCATCTCGACTTGTGTATTTGAATGACACACTCTTCTCACAAAAAAAAAAAAACAAAAAAAAAAACCTGGATCCATCTATCTCACCTTCTATGTTGGGGGTAGACGACTCGGAACACTCGGAAGCCGAAGTCCTGCTTGTTTTTTTTTTTTTTTTTGAAATGTCCCTCTTTCAACACACTTGATTCTAATGAACAGCTCATCGGCAAGCTCTGTCAAATCCTGATCATCATCCCGATCATTTGAGTCGGGTGTCGGGAGAGGGAACTTCGAAAACAAACAGGACTGCGGCTCTCGAGGACCGGAGCTGCTCTCTCTGTGCTGCATTCTGTTTTCATCACAGCAAAACAAGAACTTTCTCACCAGATCTCAATTCCCACATCTAATCTCACCGGGTCCTGTAAATTCAATTGTGATGATCTGTCAAATGACTTTATATTTCATGATATTGCTCAATTAACAAAAAACACCAAAATGAAATTCTAACACTGTTAATAAAATATATCCAACCATTTTCTAGCCCATTTATACCCATTAGAGTCACGAGTCATCCGGCGCCTATCTCTGCTGATTTTGGATGAGGAACTAACACACTCTAAGGAAATGTATTGAAACGCATTAATGGTGAAATTGAACGGTTCATTATTATGCAAAATTGCCACTGCCCTGCTTTAACCGTTCTCAATGATGAGGCTCAATTTGTTTTCCAGTGGCAATCTGCTTGAGCGCAAATTTGATTAAAAACGGAATATCATTTGAATATTAAAAGTCCATCCATCCACTGTCTGTTGTGCTGGTACAGACAAACAACCCCTCACACTGCATGCCCATGGATAGTTTGGAGTCTTCATTTAGACTAATAAGCATGTTTTTTGGCATGCGGAAAGAAACCGGAGTGCAAAGAAACCCTGACAAGCATGGGAAGAAGATGCAAACTCCACAAATGAATGCCCACGTTAGAACCACCCCCAACCTCAGACCTGTGAAGCAGATAATGCTAACCACAGGTAAACAGAGTTAGTAGCAAAACCATACCCAATAACAATATGAAATATTATACACAGTGTAAACTACATTTGCCATTTAAGATATTTTTTTAACAATTTTTTTTTCTTGATTAACCCTTTCAGGAACAGCGCCCCCAATCTCAGACCTGTGAAGCAGATAAGGCTAACCACAGGTAAACCCCTATAACAATATGAAATATTATACACAGGATAATCTACATTTGTCATTTAAGATTTTTTTTTAACCATTTTTTTTTCTTGATTAACCCTTTCAGGAACAGCGGTTACTACAGTGGACAGCATATCATGTTGGCAGGTTACAAAGTGTATGAAAAGGTTATGATTCTTAGAGATATTTACGAGCATTCCCAAACGTTAAAAAAAAAATGTTTTAGTGGTTTGAGTACGGCCAAGAAAAGTAAGTGTATGAAAAGGATTATGATTCTTAGAGATATTTACTAGCATTCCGAAACGTTAAAAAAAAATGTTTTAGTGGTTTGAGTACGGCCAAGAAAAGTGCAATCCAACCACCAGGAAGTCATGCAGAGAGAAAACCCTGTTTGAAAATTATTACGATTTAAAGATAAGATAAAATAAGGCCGGTAAGCCGATTAAAACTTGTGTCTAAAAATTTGAGCTCAGTCTAATCCTTGTGATTGTCCTTTCAGTCCGGCCCATGATGCAAGCAGCGCATATTTGCAGTAAATACTCGGCAATTTGTAAAAAGTGTTGATGTGTTCATTATGTACTACGTTGAAGGCCAAAAAAAAAATAAATAAATTGTGAATCATCAAATCCTACAATATAATATAATATTATTTTCTAGATGTGGCCAAATGCATTTGAGATATAACATCCATAATAAAATATTAATCAACTTTCTTGTCACAGGCCACATCAAATGGCAAATAATCTTGTGACACAACATTCTTCAATCATATTTCCCATTGCGGTAATTTGACATCATAAAAAAAAAAAAAGGAGCAACATGAAAACGCACAAACCTTGACAGATGATTCCTCAGGAAATTAATTCTAATCTCAATGGGATCTTTATGGGCTGTTTTGGTGTTTAGGCCAAATCACCCTTTTTGCATCTGTTGCCATGTCAAACATCCTCAGATTTGAAAGGATTAAAAATCTCGGATGATGTGCTTGCCAAGTATTGGAATTGACTTCCCGGTGGGCTTTCAAATGAAACAGTGTCGGTTTCATTATAAAAAACATACACTACAGGCATGTCGCGGTAGCTGTACAAGTGTCCAAATATGGGTTTGTTGCATTTTCTTGCTGCCCGAGGCAACAATTAGAGTAAATTCATGACTCCATAAAGGCTATTATGCTCCCATTAAAAGTCCATTATGCGATGATGTTGTTGGACAGTAGGAGATGTTTCCTGGTCCTCTGGGTATCAGTCACAGATGCTTAAGAGACAAACAATTGACTCACTTGGTTTTTTTTTTTTATTGCTGTAAATCAAATTAGCTAGTGGTTGAACCATCAAATAGACATAGCGTCTGACTCTCTTACGTTTGGATGTGTTATGGATTCTTTAAGAATAGATGTTTGCCGAAAACATGAATGGGGAAATGTGCAGAGCCACAACAGACAAGGAGACAAATGAGACAAGAGGGTGTGCGGGCGACTGTTTTCGAAGCGATTAGAAGACGGGAAATGAATAAATGCAGGACTCTGTTGTCCCGCTGACAACCCGGAGAACAATATTCTGCCCTCACGTTCATCTCCCTACTTCAGAATGTTTTTGTCATCAGCGAAAATGATGCTCAAGCCATCAGATGCCTGGGAGATGTTTTGATTTATTTGATCTGTACTCCCACATTCCAAAAAAAACATGCACATTCGTGAATGTCAATGCTTTGTTTGTCCATATGTGCCTCTCGATTGGCTGTCGCTGAGTCCAGGCTGTACCGCGTCTCTCAACTCGGATCAGTTCCAGCTCACCTGCAACCCTGATAAGAATACGTGGTATCGAAAATGGACGGATGGATAGTAAAACGTCAAATAATTTTGAAAGAAATGAAGATGTTTGAGGTATCCAGTGATGATGCTTTTTTTTTTCCGATGTTATCCTGTACTCACCCGCACGATTTCAGAACAGCTCACGCACCACTTCCTGAGCGACGTTTTCTTGATCTGCGCGCGCTGCCTCCTTCCAGGTGTGATCGCATTTATCTTTGCTTCATCACTTTTTGTCTCAGCTCGTTCAGGACGCTGTCGCTTCCCCTCCAGAGTTGCTGCGCAACACTGACTGAGGAGTGTTTGTTTTCATTGTCTTGCTTCACAAAGCGGGGCTCGTTTGTCAAAAACAACAAGAAAAGAGATAGTGGGAGGCATCCCGGGGCCCTGCTCCTGCACCATTAGTCTTGTATTGATTGTCTCCTGTCAAGGCCGCCTTTCCTGAAGGTGATGGCAACTTTCTCTCTACGTTGTCATCCTCTCTTGAAAGCGGAGGCTGCCTTCTCTGGATTGGTTCGATTAGTGCATAATTCATTGTTTGAGCGATTCCTCTCGAAGGACATGATCAAACCATAATGGGGTTTTTTTCCATTCACATTTTCGGTCTGCAACACTGGGTTATCATTTGTGCCAAATTGGGTGTATGTTTATATTTAAAAAAAAAGCTGTAGGAACACAATTTGAATATCTCTTCCCAAGGCAATGTTAGCTTGCACACAAAATATGAATCAGTCATCATTCCATCCATCCATCCATTTTCCGATCCGCTTTATCCTCACAGGTGTTGCAGGGCATTCTGGAGCCTATCCCAGCTGTCTTGGGCAGTAGGCGGGGACACCCTGAACGGGTTGCTAACCAATCGCAGGGCACACACAGGCGAACAACCATCCGTGCTCACACTCACACCTCGGGACAATTTAGAGCAGGGGTGTCAAACTCATTTTTTGTCGCGGGCCACTTCGGAGTTCCGGCTTCCCTCGGCGGGCCGGTGCAAAATCTCCACATTATTTATTACCCATGACAATTTGAGAATTTGGGTTTTCTCCGGGTATTCCGGTTTTCTCCAACATTCCAAAAACATGCATGGCAGGTTAATGGGACACTCAAAATTGTCCCTAGGTGTGAGGGTGAGTGTGAGTGCGGATGGTTGTTCATCTGTGTGTGCCCTGCGATTGGCTGGCAACCGGTTCAGGGTGTCCCCCGCCTACTGCCCGAAGGTGGCTGGGATAGGCTCCGGCACCCCCCCTTGTGAGGATAAGCGGATCGGAAAATGGGTGGATAGATTGAACTACGTCCTATTACCTGCTTATCTCTGGCCTTGTCATATTGGACATTAAAAGTAATTTCCAACTATTGATGTCTGGTACGTTGCATTTGCTTTTTTTCCTCACATACAATTTCACTTTGTTACCTCGGGGTGAAAATGAAAACAAAATGACTTCCTTTTAGCTGATCCAAAGAAATGGTCTTGCTGTTCACAACTCGGTGGAGGTCTGTGTCCTCCGAGTGCTTTTAGCAATGCCATTCAAATTTAATCCTCTTTATCACCATTGTTTCCATTATTCTGTGTATTATTCATCATCACTGCCCACTTTTGCTGTCGTAGTGTATGACAGTTACCTCGTTACTTGCCGGCCAAGGCAGTGATGTATAGGATGACGATGCACCAACCTATAAGTGTCACTTTTACTGATGTAAAAGGAGGTGATGTGGAAAGTCACAGCTGCGACGTCGCACCGCTCAACTCTTTTTACGAACAGACGTCATCCTCGGTTTACTCTGACAACTTCATCACATCGCCACGACATGACTGCCAGAAATGCACACCGTTGAAAATTTTCCAAAACAATTGAATACAAGAATGCAATCAAAATACTCTACATATAATTTTTGTTTGTCACTCAGAGGCGTGTTAAAGAAATGTACCAAATCGGCACACGTACAGAAGCTTAATAAAGCAACCTTGCGGCAAATAGTATTGCCAAGTAGCAAATAAAACTACTTGGCATGACGGCTCTGCAATCTACAAGCACAACAAGAAACGAGGAATACCCCTCCGACGCTGTCTATCAAATGTGAGCACTTTGTTGGCATGTGCGACACTATGCAAATTAAAAAAAAAAAGCTTTGCATGGCAGAAACGGAGGCTGTAAGATGCTGGGAGAATGTGCCCTACATGCTAAAATATGAGTGTTGAAGATGCTGCCTCGGTGTACTGCTGTTTTGTTCTCTGAATCCACATGCGCTGTTTAAATATTAAGCACCACATGTGATGCATATTTCCTGGAAGAAGTCAGTCGCCGTCTTCCTGCTAAGCACTGAATTTAACGAACTTAGCAGAGCCGTTCAGGTGGAACATACATGTACAACGAGACAATCTAAAGGTGCATTGTCACCATGACACTGTGAGACATCAGGAAAAAAAGTAATCTGAGCGTGTGGCAATCTCACGACACAGTTTCGACGATGTTCACACAGAAAAAAATGAGATTGTATGATTTGAAACATATGTGCTGGAGTGTTTTGAGCTCGTTTCGATCTGTGGCGATTGGTAAATAGAGACTGCAAGGGTGGTCAGTGGTCAGCATATTACTTTACTTGAAAGGAAAAAATATATATATAAAACATTAATAAAACCAAAAATGTTTGAAAACGTGTGTAAAGGCCGTTCTATTTTTAAATGAGCGGGATAACTACTTAAGAGTTAATGATGGGAAAAGTTTCGCTCATATGTGTCATCTGATAAGTGACGCATTGGGCACACAAATCTTAACCCATCGAAAAAGAACATTTGACATGCGCAGTCGCTCCCCTTCAATGTAGTTAATACAACCATGGTGAGTCATAACGGTGCAATGTCAATTTCCGCTCGAGTCACAATCTAGCTGTCTAGCTGTCCATATGCGTTACATAAAACTAGACTTTCATTTATGAACCTTCTTGCCCAGTACCGTCCAATCCAGGATATGTCCGAAAACATCACAGTGTGAAAAAGATCTGTAAGAAAAAAAAAAAAGAAAGAGTTGAAAAAGTCTTTAAGATGAAGCTTTTAGCGAGGCTTCTTCTTCTTCTCTCCTCAAAGAGGAGAGTGTCGAATAGAGAGTGTGTGCAGGTATTGCTGGTGAAATAAAAGGAGACAAGCTTTCACTTCGCCTGCGCAATATGCCCCCGCACCGCGCTGTACGGTGTTTCATTTCAAGGACTTTGAAAGACAGGCATGGCTCAGTGAGTTGTGCACTGCCCCGCCATCACGTTCATTCTTTGACTACATTCGACTCAGATCTTCCATATTTATCCAATTCGTTTGCATTGTAAAAGACAATTTTCAGAAATACATCGCATTAAAAGTTAATTTGAAAAAAAATGTGTTGTTTTAGAAGTGTGGAAGAAACTGGTAGCCCTCTCCATCAATTAGTATCCAGACTGGAGCTGTCAGTTTCAAAAAGGTTGGCGACCTCTCTGTGAGAAGCGTCTGGATTGATTTTTATGGGAGCGTTGATTTCGTATGTGTAAGTGCTTTGTTGCCGAGCCCATAAGCATGTTACAGAGTAACCAAGCTGCGTGTTCAAATATGTGGTGAGTGACATCTCTTGGCACCAAAGACAAGTCAACAGAAGACTCATCAAATACTTTTCCTGTTCTCAGCAGCACACGTCATTGGTGTGGACAGACTAGTTTTGATAGGTTGGCTTCCATCCATTTGTTCGTGCCATGGCTGAGTCGATCCCAGATGACATTGGGGAAGAGGTGGCTAGCCAGTCAGAGGGAACGTATCAACAACCGTTCATACTCCCATTCTCACCCATATGCATAATTTTGCCTGTAAATGTATTGCACAATGGCTGTTTATTATTTTTTTAAATTAATGAAACTATATGCCGTTTGTAGTCTTTTTTTTTTCCCTTCTTATTTGAGGAAAGCAATTTATGAAAATGTATTAGTTTACTCGACTTGATTGATTGGCGGTTGACAAAATAAATGACTCCGCGAGCCTCACGAGCTGAGCAAAAACCGCATTAAGTCGGAGTATGTATGACCTCCAAGCTTTACATGGCGGAGCAGAGCTGAGTGTTAACATTGGAAAAACAGTTTTAAAAAAATAAATAATAAACAGCTAATTCCGTCCAGTGTGTGACCTTTACCACTCTGGGAGTTGACTGCCTTTTTAATTCATGGAGGCTTTGCCATGAAGGCTATTTATGTCTGTTGTTGGCAGTGTGTTGGGAACCAAAGTAATATTTGATTATTGCCGTAAAAGCCTCCCTTCTGCTCAATATGCCTTCATCATGAGTGCAATCAATGCATAACGGAATGACATTCCATTTCTGGAGTGAAGTGAAAACGATACACCAGAGCACACTGGAACACTGGCTCACTGATGCACACTGTGTGCCATAGCTGACTAGAGCTGTAAGAAAAATATTAGCCCAATTATATGGCCCTGTTTTATATTCTCATGTGGAATGAACAATGCACTTGAAATACACGCGCGCGCACACACACACACACACACAGTTTCACTTCTACCACATTTGAAAACATGTACAACAACTAAATGTCACCTCTTTATAAGATGGATGTGGTAAGAAATTAAGACATGCATAGTACATTATGTGAAGCGTATTTTGGTTGCACTACCATGCCATGAGAGTGCCCTCTTGTGGTCAGATGTGTGAATAACGTCAATTTGTTTTTAATCCCTCGATCAACCCGTCTCTCTCTTGATCGATCTATCTTGATTATCTATTCAGTTGTCATCTTGGTCAAGTCTCCGTTGTAAAGAAGATTCCTGAGCTCAATCACACATCTTCGTTGAAAAAAAGAGAGCGAACATAGGAAGTATCAATTGTATCGCAACAAAACTGCTTCTATTTGTGCGAGTTGCTTCAAGACAAATTCACTTTCTGTCAAACTAATGGAAAACTGATTTACTCTTTATTAAGCTCAATTCAATTTCTGACGACTGCTACAGAAAAAGAAAGTTCATGAATTATCGTGTGACATTTGACTTTCTGTATCCATTTATTTGCTTTCCTGTGGTCAAATTGTTCTTATTCATCCTGTGGTGCAACTCCATGTTGTGCCGTATAAAGTCGTTTGGAAATAATGGCCAGAGGCTGAAGATCTCTCCTGCCAGCACTGCTATTTTTTTACACAGTGTAAATTTCAGTTCATTACAATGATTTCTCTAACTGCCGTTTTCAGCTGTAATTGGCTTCACCAACTGATTGCGGACACTTGCGTTTAATTCTGGTTAGACTGTGTATTCAAGCAATATTTAACTTCAGAACTGTGAGACATACCTGTTAACGATTTGTCCACCATGCAGCCTGTTTAATATCGTATTTCTTTTTAATTTTAACAAACTACTGGATGCGTCAGAAAAGTACACACGCACGATTCTCGTTGAGCGGGTTCTAATAAATACTGTACAATACATAGCATGATCTCCAATTCGTATCTGGTTTTGGCATGATTACTCGTACTGGGAGATGAGGCACAATGTCAGCAGTAGAGGTGACGCTCCACCTGCTCTCTTGCGCGTAATAGCCACTGAGTCTCTTAAAGGGAGGCGCTAATTCGAGAGATTCATCACATGACGGATGTTGCATCGAAGGACCTACGAGGGTCTTGACAGCGGCCATAAATCCTGGTTCACGCGTGCCGCCACAAACATATCTGCATCTGTCACCGCAAGCGCATTAAATTAGCTGCAAAATTTGATGGAACGGCCCAGAGCCCATTCCACTGATCACTCGAGG